TAGGATATAAGCACCTGGGTGCGGCATTTCAGCTACATCGTAGGGGCCTTCCCAGTTTGGTCCTAACTTTCCGAATCGAGTTTCAAACCCCGTTAGACCAACTTTCCTGAGAACAAGGTCTCCTACTTTGAATGTTCGGGGTCGAACTCGTTTGTTGTAGAAGTCTGCTATTTTCTGCTTGTAAACTAGAGTTCGAGGTCGTGCTTCTTCTTTGACTTCATCAAGCAGATCAAGGTTCTCCTAAAACTGTTGTCCATTTCGTCCTTCATCGAAATGGGTGACCCTGAAGCTTGGGACTCCTATCTCGATAGGGATGACTGCTTCGGTACCAAAGGCCAAATGATAGGGTGTTTCACCTATTTCAGTTAATTGGATCTTTAGAATGCGCTTTACGTGTTATGCATATTTGCTCTAAGGCAAAACCATAACAGAAGAAGTAAAATAATATAAAAACTAATCAAATAGACCAGGTTTGAAGTAATACCTGTGGTAGTTCGGCTCGTGGTTCTATATGCCCAGAGGACGTTATTGAGCTCATCTGCCCATTTGGCCTTATGCTGTTCCAATCTCGGCTTTATACCTTCTAAAATGCATTTGTGAACATATTCGACCATGCCATTGGACTCCGGATGGTAAATCGAGGTGAATTGCAATTTGATCCCATAGTTGGAATAGAAATCTCGAAATGAGGAGCAATTGAATTGGGTTCCATTATCAGCCACAATCTGATTCGGGATCCCATATCTACAAATAATCGAGCTGAAAACAAAGTCTTCGACTTTCTTGGAGGTAAGACTGGATAATGCTAGACCTTCAACCCATTTTGTGAAATAATCTACACCAACGATGAGATGGGTTACACCACCGACCCCCTTCACGAATGGACCCAAGAAATCCAGCCCCCACTGAGCAAATGGCCATGGTGCTACCAAGTTCGTGAGCTCTTCTATTGGTTGGTGAGTCAGATGTGCGAAAAATTGACACTTCAGGCACCTCTGAACAAAGTGGGTAGCATCCTTGTATATATTTGGCCAGTAATATCCCTGCCTTAAAACTTTGTGGGCCAGAGTTCTAGCACCAATGTGACTCCCACAGACACCTTCATATACCTCCCGCAATGCATACTCAGCTTCGTAGGGATTTAAGCACTGTAGAAAAGGAAGTGAGAAAGATATCTTATAGAGGACCCCATCAATGAATGTATACCGAGATGCTTTCTTCCTCAATTCCATTGCCTCCTGCCTGTCGTTAGGTACTATCCCGTCTCATAAAGAGGAGATAATTGAGTCAATCTAGCTCGGTGTGTCTAGGTCTGTGCTGACCTCCATCACCCGCGGTTTCATGAAGCTTGGTTCGTTTAAGACCTCCACAAAAACTGATCTGGAACTTAAAGAGCTATCTGAGGCAAATTTAGAGAGTGAATCGGCCTGTTCATTCTCAGTTCAGGGGATTTTGCTCAAACAGAATTTCTGGAATTTTCACTTTAGCTCAGCCACCAGGGCTACATATTTCACCATCACAAGATCAACAACTTCACAGATTGAGTTGATTTGGTTCACCACCAGCTGGGAGTCACTGTATACTTGGATCGCGTTGATTTTCAACTCCAATGCTAACTGTAGACTAAGCAGCAGAGCTTCATACTCAGCCATGTTGTTTGTTGCATCAAAGTTAAATTTCAGGGCATGTTCACTTCAGTATCCATCTGGGCCAATCAAGAGAGCACCAGCTCCTGAACCCTTGCTACTAGATGCCCCATCAACATATAAGATCCAATCATTGGGCTTTGGATTCGGGGTTGAATGACCTAGAGTACACTCTACAATAAAATCTACCAGCGCTTGAGCTCGGATTGTAGACCTCTACTGAAATGTTATTTCGAACTCCCCCAGTTCTACTACCCACTTAATTAATCTTCCGGAGCACTTTGGCTTCTGCAGGATTTGTCGAAGAGGTTGATCTGTAAGGACAATGATTGGGTGTGACTAGAAATATGGCCTCAACTTCCTGGCCGAAGTGACAACTGCTAAAACTGCTTTCTCAGTTATAGGATACCTCAGTTCTGCTTCGTGTAGTATACTACTGATATAATAGATTGGTTTCTGCTGCTTGGCTTCTTCTCTCACCAGAACCGAACTAATGGCTTCATGTGAAATGCCCAAATACAAATAGAGAATTTCTCTATCTCTAGCTTTAGTCAGTAGAGGTGGTGAGCTAAGATAAGACTTCAGCTCGTCGAATGCGGCTTAGCATTCCTGATTCCATTCAAACTTCTTCTGTTTCCCCGATTCATCCTTCTGGGCGGCTGACCTCATAATCTTAAAAAATGGCAAGCATTTATCTGCTGACTTCGATATGAATCGATGGAGAGCTGCCACCCTTCATGTCAACCTCTGTATATCTTATACTAACTTCGGCGGTTCCATCTCGGCAATTACTTTGATCTTCTCTGGATTGACCTCAATTCCTCTCCGGGAAACCATGAAACCTAGAAATTTTCCAGATTCCACGCCAAAGATGCATTTGGTCGGGTTTAACCATATTCTGTTCTTCCTAAGATTGTTGAATGTTTCATCAAGGTCATCTAGATAATCTTTTACTTTTAGGCTCTTTACCACAATATCATCGACATAGACCTCCAGATTCATGCCGATCTAAGCTCGAAAGACGACGGTCACCATTTTTTGATAAGTAGCACCTGCGTTCTTTAAGCCGAACGGCATCATGACATAGCAATAAATTTCATCGCCAGCATAGAATGAGGATACCCAGAATATGCATCCAAGAGACTTAATCTCTCATTGCCTTAAGCCGCTTCAACCAATTTGTCAATGCTCGGCATCGGATAGCAATCCTTGGGGTAGGCTCGGTTAAGATTTGTGTAATCGATGCACATTCGCCATTTACCATTTGCCTTCTTCACCAAGACTGGGTTAGCCACCCATTCGCAATAATCAACTTTTCTAACGAAACCAGCTTGTAGAAGCTTCTCTACCTCTTTTTTTATGGCCTGAAGCCTTTCCCCCCGAAGAGACGTCGCTTTTGGGCTACTGGTTTCTTCAATGGATTGGTGCTGAACTTATGTTGAAATACCGAGTTTGGAATGCCAGGCATGTCTTCCGAAGTCCACGCGAATACATCATTGTTAGCTCGGAGAAAAGCTGTTAGCTCGGAGAAAAGCTATTAGCTCTACTCTTTCCTTCGGGTTCAATCTAGTTCCAATTTGCATCTTTCAGCTCAGATCTCTATCATCAATGAGCACTTCTTCGACATCTTCAACTGGAGCAGCTTTGGTTTCATCTTTCGGTCGATTATCTACTATCTCAACACCCATAACTTGTTGATTATTAGGAATTTGTTGGGGTATGGCCTCGGGTGTCTGATCTTTGCCTTTTTTAGGTTGTGTTACTGAGGTGATATAGCAATGTCTAGCCACTTCTTGGTTGCCTCACAGTGTTGCTATTCCCATTGGAGTTGGGAACTTCATGCAGAGGTGAGATTGGGAAACCACAGCTTGGATCTCAGTCAGCGTAGGTCAGCCAATAACAACGTTGAAAGAGGACGCCATCTTGACTACTAGAAACCTAACTGAAGGGGTCACATAATTTCGGCCACTTCCAAATGCAGCATTCATGGTTAGGACTCCCTCAACTGGAACTGGTTGGTTGTTGAATCCATAGATGGGATCATCATACCGTTGCAACAAAGCTGGATCCAGCCCAAGACTCTCAAAACAATGGAAGTACATGATGTCTGGTGCACTCCCTGTGTCAACAAGGACACGCTACACCTCACAACTGTTAATCATGACA